CTGTGATCACATCACTCCACTCCAACCTGGCTGACAGACTGTAACTCTGTCTCCAAAGATTTAAAAAATGTGGCCCTTCAAGAGGAGAGCGCATGTCACACCATGAAGGGCCACATTGGGAAGTATTGGTGTGGAGCACGAGGCAGAAAGGAGTGGCAAAGTTACTGTTTTTATTGTGTTTTTTGTGAGAAAGGCAAGACATTCTGGAATGCAGAATTGCTTTAGGATTGGTTAGTACGAATGATTCTGGTGGGTTTTGGGGCAAAGGGTTTCTTCCTTATTGTCTGGTACATGTTGATTTAGAGCAAGGAGATTTTTGGATTGGTGTGTGAGTTTGATGAAGGAGATTGTTAGGAATTTGGAATGGCTGGTTTACCTATGAAGGCAGGATCTGGAGAGCCCTTTGCTATTTCTAAAAATCGATTAGCCCTGGTAGGCACAGTCTTTCCCCAGTTAGCAAGGCTGCAAATGCCACAGCATCAAGAATATGGAAAATAAGAAAATATGGTAAATACAATTGGATCTGCGACTGGAAGCCAAATAGACAAATATGGAAACTAAGAAAGCATAGTTAGAACAATGATAAATAAGCAATTCTCTAGTGTGTTATGAGGTGGGGCAAATGAAAAAAATAGAGGTAGACATGGGTCTTAGGGAGTGCTGGTGGGTGGGGTATGAAGAGACTGCAGCATTAAATAGTATGGTTAGGGGTAGGTCTCAATGAGAAGACGAGTGGTGAGGAAGGACTTGAGCCAAGGCTTGCCATCATAAAGATTCTAATATTTTAGAATTCTAGCAAGACACAGAAAATTAACACATCAATGAATAGGATGCTTTCTTTCATTCATTTATTCATTCACTCAGTCATTCTGTTGGTTGGTTGATAGTTAGTTAGATATTAAAGAAATATTTATCAAGCACCCAATAGGCCAGGGACCAAATAGATGTTTGGGTTACAATGGTGAACATTGTTGACACAGACTCTACCATCATGTAGCTTATCAGTTAGTTGGGGAGACAGATGTTGACCTAATGGACACACACATAAATACAAGCACACCTTGTTTTGTTGTGCTTCATTTTTGTTGCACTTTGCAGATATGAAATCTTTTACAAATTGAAGATTTGTGGCAGTTGTGCATTGAGCAAGTTGATTGGTGTCATTTTTCCACAGCATGTACTCCCTTTGTGTCTCTGTGTCACATTTTGGTAATTCTCACAATATTTCAAACTTTTTCATTATTTTTATATTTGTTATGGTGATATGTGTATAGTACTCTTTGATGTTATTATTGTAATTGTTTTGGGGTGCCAGAAACTGAACTCATGTAAGATAGTGAAATTAATAAATGTGTATGTTCAGGCTCGTCCACTGACCAGTCATTCTCTCATCTCTCTTTCTCACCTCAGACCTCCCTATTCCCTGAGACACAATCATATTAAAATTAGGTCAATTAAAAACCTTAAAATGATCCCTAGGTCTTCCAGTGAAAGAAAGAGTTTCAAGTATCTCACCTTAAATCAAAAGTGAAAACTTATTAAACTTAGTGAGAAAGGCATGTTGAGCCCAAGATTGGCAAAAAGCTAGGACACTTGCACCAAACAGCTAAGTTGTGAATGCAGAGGAAATTAAAAGTGCCACTCCTATGAAATATGGATTATAAAAAAGTGAAGCAGCTTTATTGCTGATGTGAAGAAAGTTTTAGTGGTCTAGACAGACGATCAAACCAGCCACAACATTCATTTAAGCCAAAGCCTAATCTAGAGCAAGGGTTTGACTCTCTTCAATTCTTTGAAGGCTGATAAAGGTGAAGAGGCTACAAAAGAGAAGTCTGAAACCAGCAGAGTTTGGCTCACGAGGTTTATGGAAAGAAGCCATCTCCAAACGAAAAAAGTGCAAGGTGAAGCAGCAAGCGTTGATGGAGAAGCTGCAGCACCTTATCCAGAGCATTTAGCCAAGATAGTTGATGATGATGGCTACACTATACAAAAGATTTTCAATGTGGATGGAACAGCCTTCTACTGGAAGAATTATGGAGCAAGTAACTACAGTTGTGGTGGAAATTGCAAGAGAAATAGAATTAGAAGTGGAGCTTGAAGTTGTAACTGAATTACCACAATCTCACAATAAAACTTTAATGGATTAAGAATTGCCTCTATGGAAGAGCGAAAAAGTGGTTTCTTAAAATGAAATCTACTCCTGGTGATGATGCCATGAACATTGTTGAAATGACAATAAAGGATTTTGAATATGACTATAAATTTAATTGATAAAGCAGCAGCAGGGTTGGAAAAGACTGACTCTAACCTTGAAAGAATTTCTACTGTGGGTAAAATGCTATCAAACAGCATCACATACTACAGAGAAATTTTTAATGAAAGGAAGAGTCAATTGATATAGCCAACTTCACTGTTGCCTTATTTTAAGAATTAGCCATGACCACCTCAGCCTTCACCACCTACCACACTGATCCATCAGTAGCCATCAAAATTTAGGCAAGACCCTCTACAAGCAAAAAACAAAACGAAACAAAAGCCTTACTAAAGGCTTAGACAATTGTTAGTATTTTTAAGCAATGAAGTCTTTTAAAATTATATGTAAATTGTTTTTTGTTAGTCATAACGCTATTGCACACTTTGTAGACTACAGAATAGTGTAAACACAACTCTTACATGCACTAGAAAACCAAAAAATGTGTGTGACTCACTTTATTATAATACTTGCTTTATTTCAGTTATCTGGAACTGAGCTGTAGTATCTCAGAGGTATTCCTATATTTAATTGGGACTGGCAAATAGCTACACAGTGTTAAGAAAGCCCGTAATAAGGGTATTTGATTTAGCTAAGGAAGTCAGGGAAGGGACCATTGAGATTTGAAGAATAACTAGGTGTTGACAAGTCATAGGAGGGACAGAAGATCATCTTTGTAGAAGAAATAGCTTGTGGAAAATCCGTGAGATAGAAGTTTAAGGGGTAGGAGGCAAATGGAGAGACCCATGTGGCATGGTGCAGATGAGGTTGAAGGTTTGTGTTGGGGGAAGGTAGTGACAAAGTAGGGCCTTTTACACCTCATGAAGCAGTTATGCATTTTACAGAGAGCAATGGACAGTGGAGGAAGAGCTTTAAGCTGAGGTATCACTTGACCTTCCTTGGCTTTGAGAATGGGTATAGGTAGAACATTGAGAAGGCCAGAGTCTAGGTGGGAGATGGAGATTGCTTGGATCAAGAGGGTTGTGGTGCAGAGAAAGAAGAAGAAAAATGGCCTCGATGATGCATTTGACATGAGTGAGGAAAAATAAGTTACCAGTTATGAATTCTGCATCTCTGGCTTGTGAGTATGGGACGATGTACTTCCATTCATTGAGAAGGGGAACACGGGAAGAGAATCAGGTGTTTTGAGAAGGTCATGGAATTGATTTTGGACATAACATTGTTGAGATTCCTTTGATACATGTGTGTGAAGAGTTCATGGAGGCAGTTAGTTGTATGAGTCAGATCTTCTGAGGAGAGATGTAGCCTCAAGAAGCATGGATACACCAATTGTATCTCTCCCCTGTAGAAACGGATTAAAACTCCTTTTCCAGATCCAGACTCTGAGCCAGCCATGCCAACACAGGAAACCCCACTGAATCCCAGGCTTTTTGACTAATACCTGAAATATCCCATTGTTTGCAAGTTGGCCATTGAAAAGACCCCTCTCTATCAATGCAGGCAGGGACAAAGGCTGGGGGTCTTAGAATGAACCTTCATTTCTCTTATCTGAAGGCCATTCTGGAATGAGGACTGTTTTTTGTTCCCCACTATGAAGTAGTAATGTGCCCCTTGAACATTCTCAGCTTCTTGATCTGTTAAGATGTTCACTGTTTGCCTCTCTGCTTCCTACCAGGGGACAATATATATTCGACATTAAAACAACTAAAACATAGCCTTTGTAGGCAGACAATATCTGGCTGAAGTCTCAATCTGCGATGAGTTTAACTACTTGAAGTTTCAATTTCTTCATTAATAAGAGGGAAGTTATCATATTCATCTAATAGTTTTGTTTTGAGGATTAAAGAAGATAATGCTTTAGTACAGTGCTGCGGTGCCGAAACATGATATGTTTTTTCTTTCTTGCTTGCTTGCTTGCTTGCTTGCTTGCTTTTTCTTTCTTTCCTTCCTTCTTTCTTTTTCTTTCTTTCTTTCCTTCCTTCCTTCCTTTCTCTCTTTCTTTCTTCTTTCATCTCCTTTGCAGAAACTCTCACTAATTAGGTATGATTTTTTAAGGTAATAGAAGACACATATGGTATTGTTCCTTTGATCCAATTATCATTTCAAGCCAAAAATCCATTCAACCACTCCTATTGCCTGGTTATAAAATAGCTATTTTATTTCCTTTCTTACATCTGCCCATTCTTCATGAAACAGCCTTCAGGTAAGTGACATAGTCTTAAAAGCAGCCCACAAAAGTAAAGCAAAGCATAGCCTTCCTCTAAAATCTCTAGGCCCTGAATTTGGAATCAGAGCTCCCTGGCATTTAACTTTGTACAAATCACCTGACTAGTCCAAGGCTCATCAGTAAATAGGAATGAGAACACCTGTTCTAACCTCTGAGCCGTGTAGAGAGTATTCACTGGAAAAATGTAAGCTTTGTAATTTGTGAGGATCTTGAATACCTATAAGCTGTTATTAGTCAATTTCCTTTTTAATAACTATATCAGGAATTTAAATCACACATACACACACACACACACAACAAATCAATGTAGTCACCATGCATATTGTATTAGGTTCATCCCTAATTGCCTGTATTGCTCTCCCTTTGGTCATTTCCTTCCGTTGCCTCTGCTGCAGACACAGATGAACTGATAGAACACAAGGATCTTCCTGGCACATACACACATGGACTCTCCCCAGCCAGAGTTTCCCATGAAAGCTTAACTACAAAGAAATTCAGAGAAGGAAGAGAATCTGAACTGTAATACCCTGTGTCTAGGCTAGATTTCTGATTAGCCATTACCTTATGCTGGTTATTTTCATCCTCATTTCTGGAGGCCTTGGGCTTATTCATTAGAATTTTCTCCAGCTATTCATTTTCCAAATGCAGCCATTTTTCTGGTATGATATTGCCTGTAAGTCAAAACAAGATAATGTTCACTATTACCAATACATTTTTTATTTCTTTTATTTTTTCCATTCAGCTTTTCCCGTGGGCTTAAAAAAAAAAAAAAAAAACCCTTCCTGTTAATAATACTTTATATTTGGATGATACTTAACACACTCTCTCAGGTACAGCATATTGGTTAATTTGAACCTCAAAACAACCACCTATCTAATGTGGTATGTAAACCAGGAATGGCTGTTAGCTACTTGGTTTTGTGAATGCAGAATCTCTGTTTTACTTCTTTGCCAGGTACTACTAGCAGAAAAGGGACTGGCATCCTCTTTGCTGACCTCAAAATAATGTTTTTAATTGGACATGACCCTGGGCTGGATACTTTCTCTCTCCTTGTTTCTCTTTCTTCATTTACAAACATGGGGTAGATTTGATCATTTCCAAAGTCCATTTATCTTTAAATTTGGGTTCTATGTCATAAAATATTTATTGTGCCCCTGTGTGTGGAGTACTGCTAATTCTAGAGCTATGAAAAGTCATAAGGCACCCTCACTGTCTTCTAATAGTTTATGATAGAGCTGAAAGGGAACGGATGGTAATGAGAAGATGAAGGAAGATCCAGGGTTTAATTTCCTAAGTCCTACATGACTGACATGCAAAAATAAGTGCTACAAGGGAGGAGGGAAGGTCATTATTTCTCCAAAATATTGGCACATAGATTGACAGCCAGATCTTGGAGTTTCAAAGTAAGGGAGAAGCCCTTCACCTTAACATTGGCTACAGACCAATATAAAGAGAATAAGAATAAAAATTGTGTCTATGGATAAAAGGGGAATGTTTACATTTAAAAAGTCAGTATAGGGCCGGGTGCAGTGGCTCACGCCTGTAATCCCAGCACTTTGGGAGGCCAAGGTGGGCAGATCACAAGGTCAGGAGATCAAGACTATCCTGGCTAACACAGTGAACCCCGTCTCTACCAAAAATACAAAAAAAAAAAAAAAAAAATTAGCCGGGTGTGGTGGTGGGCGCCTGTAGTCCCAGCTACTCGGGAGGCTGAGGCAGGAGAATGGCGTGAACCCGGGAGGCGGAGCTTGCAGTGAGCCAAGATTGCACCACTGCACTTTAGCCTGGGCAATAGAGTGAGACTCTGTCTCAAAAAAATAAAATAAAATAAAATAAAAAGTCAGTATAAAGGAAAAAACATTTATGGGGTAGAGGAGCAATGTTCATCAGTTTAAAAGCCAGCATAAAACTTATGAAAATTCTATAATAAAGGACTTCAACAAATTTTTCACTTGTTTCAGTGTTTCTTGAGCTTTGGAATGAAAATAAAAATTACAGCAAGGCTCTAAGCAGACAAAGATAGATAGGATAATGGATAATTTTGGGAAACAGCTTTTAGGGCTAAAATTTCTCAGTGTGTATTTTTCCTGAGTTCAATGCTTTTAAAGATGGCGCACTGTGAGTTACCGTGACAACAAATAGATACCATCTAGGTTCAGGCTACAGATCTCAACTCAAGTATTTTGTCCATACACTTTTGGAAAAAGCCTGTTGATGTACTGTAGATGGAATGAACAAAACATGGAGCGGTTGATGCTATTATGGCCCATTTCTTTGAAATAGTATTAGTCTGGTTGAAGTTGCTTCTACAGTTTTGAAGGACCCTCTTCTTTCCATTTCATCATTGCCTTTAAAGTTTGAAGCGTACTTCATTTTCAGTTCCTTATTGAATGTCTCTCAAGACAAGGCAAAAATAAAGGCTAAAGCTCATTTCCTGTGTTCATGATTCTTTTAAAAGGGAAAAAAATTCAGGTGTTGTTGGTCATCCTGTAATTTTGGAGTTGTTCTTTGTCCTTGGGCTGTGTTTTCTCAGGATACTATCCTTAGAAATAAATCCAGACAAAGAATTGACAACCAACTTGCAGTTATGAAGAAATAAACGGGAAGATACAGATGACATAAAAGATCCCTAGAACACAGTTGTTTTCTGTCATTGGTTGTAATGAAAGTAGGTGCTTGGGGCAACAATACTTTTGGCAGCTGCCACGCAGTCACCCACACAGCCATTCAAGTTTGACAAATTCCTCAGATAGGGTGATGGTTCTAGAATAGGGTGGGAAACTGAGATTCTCTGTTGAGTCACTGAAAACAAGTATCTTCAACTAGTTCAGGCAAATGAAACCTTTAAAAGATACTGTTTCCAAAGGCACACAGGACATTAATCGTTTAGTGTGATTATCATATAAACAATCTAAAACTCAGATTGAGGAATTGGGTATGTGATATCAGGTAGAATGACATGAATTTGATTTTTTTCCTGGTTTTGTTCTATACCCCAACTTGGGCTTGTGAGACATTTCTTAGCATTTCTGAGGACAGATTTGGATTTTGGATTTCACACAGGCAGCTGAACCTGGACAGACCAGTAGCACCGTGCAGCCTTGCTCACAGTTCTTAATGGACTGCAATGGGTTACATTGCCTCAGTGGCCTAGAGTTTTGTGGTTTACAGCAGAGATCATCTGATGCCCTGAGGATGTCAAGTTATTTGGTGAGTGTGAAATAACTTGTTCTTGTTTTCAGTGAGATTTCTGGTCTTTCTGTTGTGGTTGTTCTGCAATAAAGATTGAACTATATACCATTGAGTATTCAACATGTTTTATTTGTAAGAATAATCTTTAATATGTATTGCATAATAGCGCCACAAGAACTTAATGAGAGTAGGTGAATAGCAATATTATGGCGTAATTAATAAAGAGAAAAGACTTTATTAGGTTGTTTAACTAATATGTCTGTTGAAGTAATTGAGCCAACTTTAATGGGCTTTGGTGTTGTCTTAGCATAAATCCATGTTCATAAAAGTTAATGGTAGTGATGTTTTTTACTTATGAGAATTCACTTAACAAGTGATTTTTCAAGAATAAATTACCTGCATGGGGCAGAGTAAGCTTGTACTCATCAAAATCACTCACCTAGATAACTGAAGGAAGGCTTAAACATTCACATTTCATTTTAAAAGTTCTTACTACTGAAAAACGCACAGATATTGAATAAGTTAGGAGAATATATTTGAAATAATTTCCAACATTCAACCCAGTAAAAGTTACAATACGAAATTGTCACAGAGCTGAGTAGTATTAGGCAAGATAAAACTAACAGCCTGGAGTCATTCTCCCTCTCTTTGTCTCTCTCTCTGTCTCTCTAATGATGCTTCAAAACAATAATTTGATATAATAGAATCATTTTGTATAACTGGCCTAACCTATCAGTTGAAGACAAAAAAACCAGAGTGAGGTATTGATAAAAGCAGTTTTTATTTCAGTCAGTCAAAGTTTTACTTTGAATTCTAAGAGGAAACATTATTTTCACCTTGTCTCTCTTTCTAAATATTCATGAGAAGTATCACTTGCAGTCCTAAAGTGTATGAGCCATTTCCATTTGCCATTGGAAAACTGAGCAGTTCTATCCATGTGAGGATGTTGACAGATGAATAAATGTCACTGGTGAGAAAGAAGAACGGATTAGGGGTTAATGGGGAGGAGTAGGAGCACTGGTTTTGAAAAGAATTAAGTTAAATCTATTTCTTTCATTTTATCTTTTGGAGTGCAGGAGTGCGATGCTAAGTCACTGTATCCTCAAACTTCTGGGTTCAAAGGATCCCCCCACCTCAGCCTCTGAGCCTCAGCCTCTGGGTAGCTGGGACTACTGGTGCACCTCCATGCCTGGCTAATTGTTTTTATTTTTATTTTGTAGAGGTGAAGTCCATCTTTCTATGTTGCCCAGGCTGGTCTGGAACTCCTGGCCTCAAGCCATCTGTCTACCTGCCTTACAAAGTGCAGGGGATACAGGTGTGAGCCACCACGCCCGGCCTAAATCTATTTCTTAATTAAAGAAATAGTGTGTATTTGTATGGAGCATGTGTGTTTACAGCTGTCCTCGAAAATAGCTTGGATATTTATTTGGAAATATGTCTCTCCCTAATGTTTATTAAACTTGGCCTGGGTGGAGGTCCACGGGGGAGAACATAATGCTTGATGGAAGTGAATTAATGCTTAGCATTCCCCTGCCATGCACTTGGTTCATTTTGAGCCCATGACTCAAGGCAGACCCCTCAGAATGTATCTTAGGAATTTTGCTATGCATGTGGCCTTGATTCTGGAAATACATAGCCCCTAGAACTGCAAGTCTCAATGGAGAGCCTTTGTGAGGAGTCAACCCAGAAAGTGCAACTTAGGAGAAGAGAAACAGAATTCTGATAAACTCTACTGAGCCTCTGTTTTTAGCCACTCTTGAGACAAAGTTTATCCCAGAAATTGGGAGCTAAAACCCAATATATTTCCTTTGTTTTTAAGTTAGTTGAGTTGAGCAGCAACCAAATACATATTAATAGATACGTTGCTCACTACGGCAACATTGGAAAACAGAGAAACGTGCAAAAATAAATTACAATGACCTTTGATTTAATTTTGATGTATTTATTTCTGATTCCTTTTTGTTTATCTCTATAGAAAGAGGTAACTATGATTACAATTCTAATGTATTTTTCCATTATTTTTCTTATCTCTGCAAATGCATAATAACTTTAATTTTTATTAACTTAGGATTGTTTTTACATACATAGGAATATGTCTTTCTTTTTACAAAACAAGAATCAGGTTATGTTAATTTTATATCCTTTTTGTTTCATCTAACACTGTGGCATGGGGATTTCCCTATTTTATTAACACACATTTTTAATAGTGAAATGATATTCCATAGTATGCATAACCACAGTTTACTTTTCCATTATTGTTGAACATTTTGACTATTTCCATTTTTTATAACCTGATTGTTTATGTTATTAGTACATAATTTTTGTCCAATTTTCTATTTCTCTATTTTATATTATATTTTATTTTATTTTATTTTTGAGACTGAGTCTCCCTCTGTTGCCTAGGCTGGAGCGCAATGGTACAATATCAGCTCACTGCAACTCCGCCTCCCGGGTTCAAACAATTCTCCTGCCTCAGTCT